TTGCTGAATCATAAACAGATACTTTCTAAACTACCTCTCAAAATAAGCCTTTGGTTTTGGTGGGCGATTAGCAACACAAAAATACACTGGTATTATTCCAGGAAGGAATACTACTGAAAAAAAGAAGAATCAGAAAGATATACATTCTGTGTATAGCTGGTCCATTCTTACATTGGATAATCCCCATGAGTGACAGTGATCTATATTTGTGTTGCAGGCCCATCTCAGCTTGTAGCAGGGATGTAAATTTCTACCCAGGGAAATTATTTTGAGTAGCCAGGATCTACTTGTCTTATCTCCAACAAATTATCAATATCACGTATGCCTATCCTTCTCCCATAGGGTGGCATGGCCAACATATTTTTGAATGTGCCTTCATGTTCAGCATTTGAGTTAAACAACCCCCTCACAGCTTTTTGCATAGGACTTGTTAGCTTCTCCACCCAAAGAGTAGATTAAAGTCTCCAGTTGGAGCAGATGTGAGATCCAACGTGGTTGAAGCAGGTTGGATCTATCACTGAATAGTTCTATCTCTGAACTATCTCTCAACTATCTCTGAATAGTTTCTAGAACATCTTTTTTGATTTGTAAAAACTACAGGAGTAATATATATGTTTCTCAATTTGTTTTTCTAACATGTCTGTGATCAGATTTTGTTCCACACCTAATATCAAACAACATGTGCACATCTTAGACAAGACTGTTGGGGTCTGTGAGGGGAAATTCCTGCCAGAGCCTCTCATTATCATATTTTTATTTCATTCCTAAGGTAATAAGCAAAAAAGAGTCCACCACCTCTGAGCCTCTGCATTTTCCTGGATAATTTTATATCTTTTTTAGAAATATAAAATGCAGCTATAGGAGTCTTTACAAGTCTAAAGAAAATTAGCTAATAATAGTATCCTTTTATGGCCCACAATTTATCTTGCTGAAAAAGGCAGTTACATTCTTAGAGTTGATTATTGCTTCACCTTAAATTTTCTAATTGTTTTAGATTTTTCACTTATTTTAGACATTTTCACTTTGCCCCCTAGAGTAAATTAAGATGAAAGGTAAATTAAAAGAGAGGAATTCAACATGAAGAGAATAAATAAACAAAACACAGATTGCAAAGCAGGAATGAAAACAAGGTCTCCGAGACCAATCTGTTAAAGGAATGCTACAAATGTGAAGTGTTTACTATTTTAAAACATTAATCATGTACTCACCCTGTTTATTTAGCTATCAATATTTTTCCTGTAACTCTGACTTGAAAATGTGTAAGCTGTTTAGAATTAGGACTCAAACTGAAGGCAAATGATATTTTGATTATTTATATTGCCTAGCTTGTCTTGAAACTTCAGAGTTGTAGTCTTTTCATTTCAATTTACACCTTTTTTAAAAACCATTAGTACTTTGTATAATGTGACATCTCAAGTAACTTTTATTGCCACCCACTGCCATACGCCCAAGCCACAGCCATTAAAGATAGGGAGCCCAAGGCCTCCATCAATCTCATTCAGAAGATGGCTGCCATCTTGCTTTTACCTAGAATGCATGCCTCAACCCCAAAACACGCCATTGTAGGACTGGCCTGGTTATCAGAATTAGCAGTTCCAAGGGGCTGAAAGTTTTCCAAGTTCCTGGGAGCACTTTTTAGGCAGAGATAAATTATTTTTAATAAAAACTCATAATTTGGATCTGATAATGAAACAGCCACCAAAGCTTCTATATACTCATCATGAGCAGGAGACTCCCATCTGATCTCACAAAACTAAATGTCCTGTGAAAAAGAGAAACAGTTCACATAAGGTTGATTTACCATTTCTACCCATTGAGAAAGACACGAAAGCATTAGAATTTTCTCCTGGAACAAGGATAGGGGAAAAATTCCCCCCCATTAGAGCACCTAAACAATGGCATACATAAGATCCCTCCAAATTGTATATTTCTCTTGAAAATTATTATTGCTGCTATAAATTTACCCATACAATACTCAAGTGTGCTAGAAAATGGTGGTATCTTTATTTTCTATGGCTGACTTATAATTCCTAAAGTACCTCCATCCCATTTCTTCTTTTTAACAGATTAGCTTCCAATGAAAGCTGTTTCTTTCCCCATCCATCATTTTCCCTGATTGGTGTGGGGGTATAGGCCCTCATGGCAGGTATCACTCTAGCTTTTGGCATGCCATCTGCTGCAGGGTCTCACATGGTGTTTGGGTGCTGGCTGAATCTACATGTTTCACATTCAATGTCCTGGGAACACCCAGCCTCTTGTGTTGGCAAGCCAGCCCATGCCTCGCCTGGCACTCTGCTTCAGCCTGTTTTAGAAAGCTCAGAAGACTAGCTCCTACCTCTGACCTTTCTTTCCACAGTCCCTGATAACCAGAAGCGCTGTCTTTTATTTCCCCTCTTGGTCAGGCCATGGGGACTTCCTCCTACTCTATGTTCATCATCCTCCCAAGAGTGATATTTGCCTTCTGCCTTTACCTATGCCACTGAGGGCAAGGTTGCTGTTGGGAAGGGAGAACAAATGAAAGCTTCATGAGTTTCACAGTTTCCAGTTTACATGCCCTTAGAGTTATGCAGAGGACCCACTGTGGGCACAGTGGTTCCTAGGTGCTCCCAGTTTCTTCTTCTTTCTGGGTCCTTTACCACCTTACATCTTTCCATGGTAACTCCAACCTTGCCCTCTGAGTGCCCAGTGTCCTCCCAAGATGCTCACCTCCTTCAAATTAAACATTTCTGGAAAACTGGCTCATACATCCTCAATGTTTGACATGACTGTAGGTATCACCTCTCTTGGGGGAGTTACAAAGGACTAACACTTGAGCCAAAGCAATGAACCACCAAGGCTGTCATTTTGAGCATTACTGGTTGAAGAAGAGCACAGGGGCAGAAAAGGAGTTTTCCAGATTCCACTGGAATAATACCTTGTGGATAGGATGGCCTCCTGGGATTTCCATATTTATATGTTCTACCAGAGATGTATGCATACGCACATGGGTTGCATCCACACAGACACACACAGACACTTTAAATTGAAATATCAAGACATATCAGCGTGAGATTAACAACCATAAGAGGACCTTGAAAACTAATAAATATTCTGTAAATATTTAGTGCTAATATGTGTCCACTTCTTTGACACAGACCTTCTTAAATAAAGTAATAATAAAGAATTACAGAAAAAATAATTAATTACAGAAATGACATAAACTAGCCCAAGCATATCTCAAATAACTGTGTTGGTTCCAGAGTCACCTAAAGAGCCAGCCTTTAACAAAGTGTTTTTATCTAGTGAGGGAAATGACCACAGGAATCTTGCTATGACCAGTCATTAAAAACAATGTCAATTCTCCTTTTCCTAAAGGATGTAATTTCATGCAAACCTAAATGTGTTAACAAAAGCTGAGTCTTCTATTGTGTTGTTTTTGTTTTACATTTATAGGCTATAAGAGTCTTGAATTAGTGGGTTTTTTTAGTTACTAAAACAATAATAATTGTTAGTATTTCTAATAATAATTTTTAAAGAATATGTGGTGCTTATTTTTATTTCACAATTTCCCTGGAATTTCTGACAAGATGAAACTTTCTGCAGGATTTGGTGGATGTGTTTCTCTTTGGCTTGGCAGCTCTATTGATGCCTTGCATGAAAACATTTTGAGGTTTTGAGGAAGGAATCTAGATTTGCCTGGGTGTATCTTGATGGGCTTTGTGTCTAGATGTGTTCAGATAAACTTCAATGACATTTCATTCAATTTCTTACTTCCTGGAACGATCAACCATCTTTCAAAATTCAACTTGAAATTTCAGTCAAATTCCTTGCCTTCATTGCCAAAATTGTCATGAATACCCATCAAAGTGCTGACAACCATGTTGTTCTAAAGTGAAAAAGTCTCCAGCCTTGGTTTTGGTTGGCTTTACTAAACAGATTTTTCTCCTTTAAGAAGGATCATTATCACATCACTACTCCTGTTTCCCTCCTTTACAGTCCAAAGCATGCCTTTGTGTTACGTAGCATTCCACAGGGTGGCTGCACATCTTGACACACAAGCATGCCACCATGTTTTTGGTACATCTCTGCCCATGCTTTAAGACCCTTCTCAGGCAATAGGGGACCTACACCTCACATAACTCACATAAAGAAAAATGCAAATGTAGGAACCCACCTCCCACAGTAAAGAGCAGCATCCTCTTCCAAGGAAGGCTGCTGGCCTACTGCCAAAGAAAGAGTTCATATTTTCTTGAGTTCAATTCATGTTGTCATTCAACTATCTTTTTAAATTAAAATTTTATATGATAATAATAGCTACTCTAATTGAGGAACCTACTGAGTGTTTTATTCCTCTGTTTTGTATCTTAGGTAAATGATCTCCAAATTTCAATAATTCTTTGATGTTATTTGTTATTATCTATTTTAGTAATTTTTAAGTTTTGAAATAAATGAATCGTAAAATAAATTTGTTTTAATTTTTTTAACTGTATTATTTATTTATTATTTGGGAGCATTCTCCATTTTTGAATAAATGTAGCCTTAGAGAAGTAAAGGAATTGGTCCAAGGTCATGAACCAGTAATGGTGCAGAGTAGAATTGGAAACCCAGGATTTCTAAGTCCCTGCCCACTGTTAGATTTTATATTTAACAACTTGGGGTACCAACTTTTATGCTCCCAGCCCACCTTGTACCCCAGTCACAGCAGTGGCAGCCAGTTTTGCACAGGTAGAGCCTGCAGTGCCTCCTGCAGCCATATGATATAGAGAGAGGTCCTCTGACACAGTGACAGGGGCCTGGTATTCACACATGGGAAGCTACAAGTGTTGGGAGTTCATTCTGTCACCACGAGAAGCTGATCGATAAAGGCTTTCTCCTCCCATTCTCTGGGACAATTCTGGAATCTGTCTGACAACTCCTTAGAAAGTGCCAGTGGGATCAAGCTCATTACCCATATTGATAGCCTGCTCAAAAATGCACCCTTGAATTGTTTCTGTCTTGCAGTCTCATCCGTTATTCCCTAGAACAACTTCTGAAAGAGAAAAAAGTCTTTGTCTCAGTTTCTGCTCTCCAGAGGTAACCCAAAGGTAAAGTAAGTATACCACATCACACTCTAAAAGTAGCAGCAGAACATATCAAATGGGAATGGTTCATTTTGCTTTGAGAAAATTCTTTTATGGGGCTCTTTGGCTTTTCAAAGGCAAGACTTAGACTCTAATCTAGAAGAAAAACCATCAGCTATGGGAATCATGCAACAAGTTAAAATATAAGTGTTTTCTACATGCAGAGATGTTAAGAGATGTTATTCTGATATTAACCTAAGTAAAATAATCTACAAACTTCAACAGTCATCTGATATTACTTGTTTTATGGCCATTCTAAGGCCAGGCCTTGGGGAGGAGCTAAGTGTATAGATAGAAAAGCAAGGAGAAAGGAAAGGAGCCTCTGGCATGGGTGAGGGCATGGGCCCCAGAAAATCGCAGGAGACCTAGGTCTAAGGGGGAAATTGGCCAGAGGGCTCACCTGTGATAGAGCAGGACCAATAGACTTCATGACCAGCGCCTGCTCTAGAGCTGCGTGTGTTGCACAGCTCTCATTATCTCTGCAATCTTCAGTAAAGCTGCTTAACCTTGGAAACCTAATGTGACTCCTGTGACAACCTGGGGAACAGAAGAAGAGTCTGTGTCTGTGCTTGGGGAAGAAGGAGGAGCCATAGCCTATAGAATTGTTACCTGGAAGGCCAGTGGAAATAATAGAGCAGTCTGGGGGTAGTACAGCCTGGAAGAAGACTGGACAGACAATGAATGAAACATCTAAGAACCTACCAGGAATCCACAAAACAATCCAGTGGCAGGGTTTCCTATAGTTACACAGGAAATAGATTTGAAGAGTTCTATTTAAATACTCAAGATAGAAATAAGAGAACTTGAGAACATTTTGCTAACACATACAAATATGGAGTTAAAGAAACGGGCAGGGAGTATGTTATTTGTACATTTCATATACAGCCCTGAATATTCCTAAAATATTTGTTAGGTATCCATTATGTGTCAGATACTATTCTAGGCACTGGGGGGAAAAGTGGTGAATAAAACAGAAAAAAATTTTAGAAATTCTAGGGAGGGGAGACAGAAAAACATACTAAAACATAGAGCCCGTTGGAGGGAGCTAGGAGTGCTGAGGAAGCAGAGCAATTGGAAATGTTGACACTATTTCTATCTTTCTTGAGAAAGAGCAGGTTTTGTGAACTTAACCTGTTTTATGCATCCAGAGTGTATTAGTTGTTGAAATAAATTTCGGGTAATGACTCAAATCATTTTATGTTTTCTATGGCAGAGGTAAGGAACCCAGTGAAAAAGACAGAAAGAAGTATAGACAAAAAACAGATCCTAAACCTGTTTTGTTTTGTTTTATTTTTGGTAGTAGTTGTTTATTTTTGAAAACATTCAAACCCCCCGTATTGGTGGCTGTTATTATGAGATAAATAAACTGAGAAACAACAAGACAATTTGGTCTCTACAATTTGTTTAGTTTTGACTAAATATTTGCCTTGGAAGAAGTATGTGTACAATATTCATTTTAAAAGATACAACAGTCACCTCGTTACTTGGAGTTTTACTTGAGGCTTGAATGAGACTGAAACCACCTGGACACGACTAGAAGATACATCAAGGAACAGAAAGGTAGGTCCATTCTGTCCTTGACACTTCATTTTAATTTAGTCACTTTGCATTGAGGCTTTGCCACCTCCCCAGGAGACTGGAGATTTTCTATTGCCTAACACTGGAAAATAGGTTTATGAGATATATTAGAAAATGTTGATGATATCTTATAAGCTTGCCCGTTTGAGTCATTTGCTCTGTTCTGTTGTACCATCCCTGTCCAGTGCCTTTGGCTATTTCTCAGGAGCTGTGGCCCATCTCACCTTCTACCTTAGCTGCTGTAGATTTCAGTCATTGAAAAATATGTTAGTGCCCCCTAATGAAGTAATAGATTAAGGTAGCCTTCATGCATTGGTGCCAAAATCATTCGGTGTAAGGTTGATGGGAGATTTTATGATGGGTGGTTATATGGTTTCACTGCATCCCCGCCCAAATCTCATCTTGAGTTGTAGTCTCCATAATCCCTGCACAGGAGTGATTAGGTGGAGATAATTGAATCATGGGAGCAGTTTCCCCCATCCTGCTCTCATGATAGTGAGTGAGTTCTCATGAAATCTGATGGTTTTATAAGGGGCTTCCCCCTTCTCTGGGCACTCATTCTCCTGCCACCCTATGAAGAAGTGCCTTCTGCCATGATTATAAGTTTCCTGAGGCCTCCCCAGCCATGTGGAACTGTGAGTCAATTAAACCTCTTTTCTTTATAAATTACCCAGTCTTAGGAATTCCTTCATAGCAATGTGAGAATGGACTAATGCAGGTGACTAATACATCACCTGGGAAGCTACCCACTGATTAACCCAATATTATGTGCTTTGGATATTATGCAATAGTAAGGACACGGCACTACTCATGGAGTCTTACTGACTATAAATTTGAATCAATCTAATCAAGTCTCTAGATCGAACTAGTGTGCAAGAAATACAGGAAATAGAGAAACAAGTTAAGCCATACTATGAGGTAGTGATTAACTAAATCCATTCCTCATAATAAAAACAACAGAGTACTCAAGTTAAAAGTGGAGGAGGGAGGCACTTATAGAATAAAAGAAAGTTAAGAGAAATAATAATCAAATGCAATCATGTCATATGATACACAGAGTTCAGCCAAACTGGACATTTTAGTCATTGAAGTGGCCACAAATCTGTATGTCCAAGCAACATTTCTCACCATAGTTTCTCTCCAGAAGACAAGTCATATCTAGTTCTATTTAGGATTCTGCTTCCTCTCCTTTTATGATCTCTTAGCTAAAATCCTGACTGTCACTGGGTGATGACTTAATCTTTGTTATTAAAACACCTCTTGTGACTAATAAAATAAGCATGGGCAATAGCATCCTTCAACGCTTCAATCTTGGAGAAAATGCTGTAGAACTGGCTTGGTAATACGGTTTCCAAGGAAATTCAAAAATGGCTCATAGTATTTTCAAAACTTGGCAACCAAATAAGGGCTTTGAAGGTTTTAACTCACGCATCCACACCCACACTGTAACTCATTTCAGCCCCCACATCCAGAGACTCAGCTTTTGGTTGGCATCTGAAACTTGACTTATCACCAAACCGCATGCCCAAGAGGGTACATGTTAGAGATTGGTATTAAATAATTAGCCATCGGACCTTGAGTAGTGCCATTTTGTCTTTCTGCATATGGATTTGATCACTCCCTACTCAAACCTAAGAAACTTGAAATAGTAGTGATATTTCATACAAATTATACTTGGAGGATAGCTGCATTCAGCCCACAATTTCTAAGTTGCCTGAGACAGAAATGTGTCAGCAAAGAGTCTAATGCATAGCTTAAAATGATTGATTCAAGACTAAATCAGCAACGCTAATTTCTTGCAATGCTAGTTACATATGGTTGCATTAATATTCCCTTCTCAGAAATCCAGCTGAGAATCATTATTTAATGAAAGGCTTACAAATTGCATCCTATTTAACATCTTTCATTGCAGATTCTTTTGTAGAAATGCAGAAAACATGCAAGTGACCATGTAAATTCTGTTGCATTTGCAATGTGCTGGGTAATTTTCTTGATGTATACATAAATATGTCTATATGTGTGTAATGCATTTATATGCATAATTTTATATGTATACCTATATACAATATGATGCCTATACATTACATATTACACAATTACATATAATATATAATAGTTTATATAGAATATATTATATATATATGTCAAGAGATCATTCCGATTGGTGATTTCTAAATTAATGAATTTAAAGGGCAGATTAAAAGAGAGAGATAAGAATTTGAGTTTTCATTATCTAACTACCCTAGGTTTGAACACTAGCTACATCATTCATTAAATGCATGTCCTTAACCAATTTTAATCTCTAATCTTTAGTTTCCTCATCTTTAAAATAACAATAACAATATCTACTTCCCAGAGTGTTGCTATAAAGATGAAATGAAAACAAATCAAGTAAAGTATCTCACACAGGACAAGAGCTCAATAAACATTAGCTCTGTTTCTAATGTAAAAGCAACAAAAAGAAGATTTATGGCTTGTTACAGAATAAATTGCAGTGTTTATGAATTTGTAGTTATTGAAGAGTTCAGCCTAAGTAGGGAGATGAACCAAAGACCTGTGGATAGTCTGGAGACAGACTGGAAAGGAAAAACGTTTATAAAGGCATTCATGTTTAAGCAATAAATATGTTACAGTTTTTCTTTAAGGCCAAGATAAACTACCTGATTTCAATTATATGTGTATATATAGTCATATAATACGTGGTTTTTATATAAAGTAATATATATTATTTTTGCTACTTTGATAATAATGTTAACTAAATAGCAAGTTTTCAGGTAGAACATTATTATTTAATAACTTCATATTTCTTACACTTGAAAAATTAACAGGACACATGGTGGGGAACAACACACACCAGGGTGGAGGGTGAGGGGAGGGAGAGTATCATAAAGCATAGCTAATGGATGCTGGGCTTAATACTTTGGTGATGGGTTGATCTGTGCAGCAAACCACCATAGCACACGTTTGTCTATATAACAAACCTGCACATCCAGCACATATACCCCTGAACTTAAAAGTTGGAAAGTATATATATTTGATTAAATATATGTTAAATATATGATTTCATTATTTCAGGAAGGTATATATAAACATATATATGGTTATAAACATATATATGTCAAACATATATACTGTGTATATATATGTTTATAAACATATATATCAAACATATATATGTGTATATATATGTTTATAAACATATATATAATGTGTATATATATGTTTATAAACATATATATAATGTGCATATATATGTTTATAAACATATATATGTCAAACATATATATAATGAACTTGGCTTTTCTCTCACCAAAAAAACAGACACAAAAAATTTTGCATTTTGCACAAGCAGAATCATGAACTTAACTATTTGGGGGTAAACATTTTTCAAAGTAGTCACTGAAATGGATAGTGGAAGACCAATAAACCCTCTGGAAAGAATGTGAGGAGACAAAGGCCCCACATACTCCATCAAGAAAGTAATTATCAATTTCTCTGTAAAGTTTCTAAAGGGAACCATCACCAGAGAAATTTCATAGAGTAGAATCCTTATTAGTACAAAAGTTGTGGCTATCTTGACACTTGGCCACTTCATTAATTACTGTGATTCAATTAAGGCAGTTTTTTAAAGATAAGAGGAGAGAGGACTGATTTTTTCCAATGAATTAATTAATTTTTGTTTGGTGTAAATATTCTTATATTATTTTTTAAATTATTTAACAACATCAATAACAGTCATAGCTTTATTTGTTTTATAGAATGCTTCCCCATAGGTTATATTCTTAACTACCACAGTGGCATTTGAGCTACATATTGTAGACTTAATTTGTAAAAAATTGAGGCTGAGAGATCACACGACTCCTCCAGATTTTCACAGTGCATAAATAGCAACTCCAGAGATGTCCCCACACAAGCATCTCCTTTCTGCAGAATTGTCTGGGTGTTTGAGGCATGCATTCTTCATAAGTTAGGTATTTTAAAATCAGAAGTGAGTCAATGACAGACTTTCTTTCTTTAAAAAGGAAAAAAATAGTGGTTTATAATATTTTAAATTAGGAGTAATTAAAATGTCCCACAGAAAGCCCTGTGCTGATTCTAACTTCCACTTAGTGAAACTGAAATAATCTAACTCCAGAGGAAGTTTCAAGCAATTGAAAGAAGCCATGAGCCTCCCATTTAAACCAGGAGCTCAGTGTCCATCTCTGCTGTCAGAAATTTGAAGAACATTCATATTTTCCATTTGCTTTATCAATAGCTACCTCAATGTTTCTAAACTATCCATCACAATAGTGCCTAAGTAATTAGACAGAGGTGCTCTGGCACTGTGTTACTTAAACATTATTTCCATGCAGCACAGTAAGCCCTACCATGTGTTATTATTTTGATGGGCTTCTCACCACTTAAATGACGAAAGAGAAAAATTACAATTTCCTCTAAATTCATTTGTAGATACTTGCACAAATAATATTTGGCTATGGTCATCATAGTGAACACTGGCTGTATGTCAACTAAATCCTTGGAGATAATTTCAGCTCAATTGATGGTCCTAGTTAATTTCCCATAGGCAATTGTGAGAACTCTCTTCTTCCAAGTTTGTTGGTTTGTTTGCTTGTTGGTTTGTTTTTTAGTGTTGGAAATCCCTTGCAAATTTACTTATTTTATTGGTTCTTTTTTTTATTGCATTATCTATGGTCTACATTAAAAGAAAAAAAAAAATCCTAGGTGGTCTTAAACCATTGTAATTAAGTTTGGAGACTGGCTCTTTGCATATTCACCAGATAAGAAAAAAATGTGTGAAATTT